CGGGGTGAGAATGAGAATTTGGACGGCTTCCTTTTACGGGAGACGAAGGCTTTCCGCAACCTCACTGATGTTTGCTCTTACATTCGAGCAGCCCATCCTCCCCCATATCAGCGTGCGGTTGTTATACTCAAGAACGTTGGACGATCACTTTCGACGGCTTACTCTGTCTATTTAAGACAACGAAGGTTATCCCCATTGGATGTTGAATATGATTCACTGGTGGCGTGGCTTCGTACGTATCAAGTGGCCTCTGCATACCGCTTCCCCTGGGAAGGAGAGCGACCAAAACCTACATCCAAAGGGGTCGAGGGCTCGCAGAAGGCCTCTGATGGAACGACATCTAAACCCAAGAATGATGACCATAAGTCTAGTCCTACTCAGAAATTCTCTCCTGGAGAACCAGTGAAAGAAGGGAATGGCGGCAAGCCTCAGGGCGACCGAACTTCGGTCACCGAAGGTCTCAACCTAGGACTGAAAAACGTCCAAATCCTGGAATCAGCCCAGGAGAAGAGGCGTCGAAAGGTCCGCGGTGTCCACACTGTAGACGACGAGGCCACAATAAGGACAACTGCTGGGCCTTGCACCCAGAGTTGCGCCCAGCTAAGTCGGGCGATCTGCCCAAGAAGCGAGTGGTAGCCGCCGTGGTTACATCCCAAGAGGGAGAGACCGTCGACGAGAGTGCTGACGTAGAGTCTGTCGAGGAGAATCCCGACATCGTGTTCCCGGCTTTTCACGTAGCTGGCGGCAGGATGGTAGCAGTCCCAGTTACCAGTTACGGCCGGGAGGTCCTACTCGTTCTCGATAGTGGCAGTGTCCACATCCTTATACCTGAGGATACCCATTGTCCTCCTAACATTCTGATGCCATCATCAGCTTCTCTCAAAGTCCTTCTACCGCATGATGGAGCACAGGCGAGTGCCACTACTTTCCCTCCAATCTGGGAAGAATACGTCATCACAGGAACATCGAGGTGGGGGTTTACAGTGCCACCAACAGCAGCTTCGCCTCTTAGGCAGTAACAGTCAACGAGCTCGGTCCCGCTGGCTCTACACGAACCACTGGGGCGCTCGTACACTGGACCTGAGGCTCGTCAATTATATCGTCCTTCAGTTGGAGCATCCCACTCGAAGCAGCTGAGCTTTCGTAATCTCCCACGGCGCCATACCTATCGAGAAAGGATTGTTGCAAGCAAAGGAGTGGTAGAACTCACGGATCATTTGATATGGCCAACGACAGAGTGATTTCATCATAAGCACAGCTACCGATGAATAGAGCAGCGATGAGGGTCGAGGAGTGGAGCATTGGGACGATTAGAATAATCAACTCACCTGATGAGTCTTGTATTATCGGGCGACTCGCGAGATCAGGACGCGAGAGAAGACTTGGCTGTGTTGGTCGATACAGTTGTAAACCGGACAATAAGCAGTGAGTGCGCTCAGAACACAGTTCCGTGCGGCATATAAAGAATGAAGCCGCTTTGCCGGTACCAACCCTTCCTGGAGCCAAGGGTCACTCTCCGGGGGAAGCTGTCGATGGCTGACTGCCGTGCATCTCAACAGTCTTACCAGTAAACTAGAAAAAGGATGATTGAAAAAATCGGAAATTGAAACCCAAGTACGAACTCCTAAGTTGCTCAGAATATTTGAAGCATTAACTCAGATAATAGGAATTGCGTAATAGTTATACATATCAAAGTCGTAGATCGGATGCAGCACAGACATAACTTGTCTCTATCTTTC